CAGCTCTTCAGCTCAAGGCTAGCGCTCTACCACTTGAGCCACAGCACCACTTCTGGCTTTTTTCTTTTTGCTTATGTGGTGCTGAGGAATCGAACCCAGAGCCTCAGGCATGCAAGGCAAGCGCTTTAATCACTGAGCCACCTTCTCAACCCCTAGATGGTGTTTTTTAATTTGTTAAGATTTCATGTTACTTAATATGGTGAGAGAAAAATGCCTCCAATTGTGAAGACAATTTTACTAGGAAATTTCATAAATGTCTTCCCATCATTTAAGGTAAAAGATTATTTATTTATGTTTTGATCAAGTTTCTTTAGATAATGCATAATGGATCTTCAGTTCAAAACTATTTTTTGTGAGTTTGAGACAAACGAGCTACATAACAAGAATTTGTCTCAAAAACTAAATAGCAACAATGAATTTTTTTTTTTTTTGCTGGTCATGGGGCTTGAACTCTGGGCTTGGGCGCTGTCCCTGCCATCTTCATCTCAAGGCTAGTGCTCTACTGCATGAGCCACAATGCCACTTCCAGTTTTCTAGTAGTTTATTGGAGATAAGAGTCTCACGGCCTTTCCTGCCCAGGCTGGCATTGAACTGTGATCCTCAGGTCTCACCCTCCTGAATAACTGTGATTACAGGCATGAGCCACTGGCACCCAGCTAACAATGATTTTTTTTTAAACTGTATTGGTTTTTATAACTAAAACTTCCCAGAATGTGCTATCTTTAGGCATGGCTAGATCTAGGTATCTAAATGAAATACGTATACTAAAGAGTTTCAAGTCGATATATAAGCGTAGTCCCTATGGAAGCAAGCACATTTTCAGCTTTGTCAGCAGATGAATCCCAAAGCAGATTCTAAAGAGGCTGGCTTGTGTTTCATATCTGGTCCTTACACTTCATTAATTGACCACTAGACAAGGAATGTTAGCCAGGCTGGGTTCATGTGCCAGACTGGAACAGGGAACAACTGAATAGCCTCACATAGCACATAATAGAGTAGCCCTACAAAGAAATGATCTGAAAACAGACTCAGAAAGGATACAATTGCTCTCTTCTTTTTCTTGGGAGGAGCTAGTCTTTCCTTAATCAATGTGAGGTCTTGAGTTTGTGTCACTCTATGGTGATTTATAGATGAGAGATAATCGATCACATTGTGTTTCACCTTGCAATCTTGGTTCTTCAGTTATTGTTCCTCTGTTATTCAAGGAACTGAAAAAGCATGGTTTTTTTTAAAGCCTTTCGTGAAGTGGGAGGATATAAGGAGCTAGTGGACAAGTACTTCCATGCTATTCCAAATGTGGTCAGTGAAGGAAACTGGACTTCAAAGCCTGCATGCTACCTCCCTCGCTCAGATGCTCTCCATATCTTCAGAGACCCCATCTCTGGAGACATCCCCTGGCCTGCAGTGGTCTTTGGTGCCTCTACACTCTCCCTGTTCTATGGGTGTGCTGATCAGGTAATTAAAGATAATGTTGCAAAGATGACTGTTTCTCAGTGTCTCTCAATGTGCAGGCAGTTGTGGTCTGTCTGCTGTCCATGGTCTGATTCCCTTCCAATTTGCAGGCAGTTATGGCCTATCTGCTGTATGGTCTGCTTTCCCTTCCAAGTATTATTTTTTGCCTAAATAACTTTCCAAGAAATTATCCTTAAAAGCAGTTTCTCAACATTGTTGTTGCTGTCTGAGCTGGCTGAGAGCTCAAGGATCTGGGAAGCTGGTCTGTTGGCTTGCTGTGCTGCAGAGGGCTGGGTGGGCACTTGTGTTAGTGTTGGGAGTGTAGCATGCCCTAAGTTGCTGCCTAGGAGGGCAGCAGCCCAGCTGGCTCTCAAGAAGGTCTCAGTCCTAGGCCCAGTCAGTCAGTGTCCCATGGGGAGATGGGTGGCCAGTACCCCTGGTCCCGGGCACTGCCTTACTGGGGCAAGGGAACCTTGTCAGCTTGTTCCACATTACCCTCCACTACCCTCAGGAAGACTGCCCATGATGGTAGTCAAGAGGGGTATCACTGTTAGCCTTGACCAGCATGCCAGTAGAGCTGCCCCTGAAGCAGGAGGACAAGGAGGCCATAAGGGAGGAGAGAACTTCCACCAGTTTGGGACAAGCACTTGGATCCATCAACCATGCCTATGCCTGGGAACATAGCTTTCCCTGAGTGGCCAGGCCCATGAAGTTGCTGGTGCTGCACCTGGCACACAAGGTGTGTGGCCAGGGGGCCTTTTGGCAGGTGGGAGCAGGTGGCCTCGGACCCTGGGGAGCCATTCACAGTGGCTTGCTCCATGGAAAAACTGTAGCCACCTCCACCTAAGGAGAACCCTTGGGCCAAAAACCTCCCCAGCATCTGTCCATGTTCTGAATGACCCTGCTGCCCTGGAGGCAGCGCTCAGTTCCCCAAAATTATAAAAGCAGGAAAACTGAACACAAAAAATCAAACAAGTCTCAGAGTGTCATCAGCCAAGGAAATAAGAAACCACAAATTAGAAAAGAAAAAGAAGAGATGATTGGAAAGAGAAGTAATGGTGAAAACAAAGAAAACTGGAAAGCAAAATTAAGATGGTTCTGGTGAAAACCTTATTGAGGGTGAAGTTCAATCAAGTAATCAATGAAGGAGTGCTACTAAGTACAAGTGAGTACCACTCCACTTGCATGATGTAAGAGCAGATAGCAAAGGAAGTCCTGGATCTGGGAACAGCTCAAGATTTCAACCTGAAGCAAATAAATGAGTACATAATAATAGCAGAAATTATATAAAAAGATGGAGAAGTGATAGAAAAAATAGAGATGACCAAATGGCCTAGTTTGAGAAGTGAGGGAATTAGTATCCAAAGTTCTCTTAGAGGTCTAGAGAAAAAGCTGAGGGTAGGCAATCTGACAAATCAGTGGAAATCCTTGATTGAACTTTGATTACTCATACAATTATCAGGAACATGGTGAAAGGATTTATTAGCCATTTTAAACAGAATCCAATATCAGTAGCATGTATCACTATGATGATCGTACAGGCCAGTAGCACACTGGACATTAGACTTCCCAAGAATCAGTACATGCTGATTGGAGCCAGGGCCATTTTTGGTGTTCTTTCCTTATTATGACAGTGCACTTTGAAAGGGAAAAGAAAATGAAAACTCCACTTGTTAATCCTTATACCCCTAGATTACATTATCATCATGTTGGTTTTTACTTGTGGACCTTTTCTAGGTATAAGCTTGCAGTATATGTTTGCAGTCATGCTCTTGGTCCATACATTTACTTTTTTCCTAAGTGACTCTCCACTTGCTGGCTTGAGTACCCCTTTCACCATTAGAGCAGGCAGCCTTTTATGACACCATGAAATGTGCCTGATAGCATCTCCTGGATGACTCGACATTTTAAGGTCTCCATTAAATGTCTATGGTAATTCATTTCACTTTTGAGAAATGATGTTCGTCCCTCTCTTGAACACTCATCTGTTTCCAAGGGCCCAACTTCACTTGGATTAATGTCACAAAAGCCTCTTCATTCTATCAAACCTGTGCCCCACAGGACATTTTTTCTTTCCAAGAGACAGCATATAATCCCTTCAACTGCCATGGTTGGTGTGAAGCATTAGTATTGAGGCCAAGGTCACACATGCAAATTCCTAGTCCCATCTAGCAGCTGTATACTAAGACAAAATGTGTCATATGATTACTGTTATTATGTTTTATATGTATTTATGTTATGTGTGTGTGTTCTATGATCATTATGTTATATGTATTACTGGTCCTGGATTGTCTAGAGGTATCTGGGAGAGAATTGAGCATCTTAGCAATAGCTAACCAGGGAGCATATCCTGATATTACAGATGGCCATAATTGTTCTGGTCCATGCTCTGAGGCAGTTTAGACTTTATACACCCTGATAAAGATTATCACTTGTTTACTTACCTGTGTTTCATTGACAGGTTTCTGTCCAGCGGTTATTGGCAGGGAAGAATATGTCTCACAGGAAAGGTGGCTGCCTCCTGTATGGGTACTTGAAGCTACTGCCCATGTTCCTCATTGTGATTCCTGGAATGATAAGCCGCATCTTGTTCCCAAGTAAATTTTTATTTTAGTGTGCTCCCACTAATCAGCTATTCTCCTCTTAGAGGTGTGAGAGCATTTGCAGTTATCATGTCTTCCACAGTATACTGCTTATTGGGATAACTAAGAATGATTTCCTGTGATGTGACAAAGCAGAAGACTGTCAGAAACTGTTGATATACAAAGAAAGACAAATAGGGATACAGGTTGACCCATTGTAACAATGAGTTGTACAAGACATTATGTTGAAAATGAACTTTACAGATTGGCTGGGCAGGTGTAGTTAGGGAGGTGGGAAGGAAGAAATGGTAGGGGAAAAACAAAGGAGGAGACAACAATAGGAAATGTACTCATTACCTTACTCATGTAACTCTAACCCTTCTGTACAGTATTTTTACCATTAAAAAAGTATTAAAAATTTCAGAGTGATAAATTCCCACAGGAATAGCACATAAATATAAAAATTTAAATAAGTAGATATACAAAGGAGTCGCCATTTAATAAAGCAGTTTATAAATAAAATATATCTTGATCACAGTCACCCCTTTCAACATTCATTTTTCCATTGGTTACAGCCTAACTCCAGGCATTGGGGCCCAGCTATTTCTTTGGGGCACAGTCTGTGGAAGGATTAGGTTGCTCCATTTTATCACAGACTTCATCATACCATGTTTGACAGATGCCATGCTGGGATCTCACAGATACTGTAGCTGCTATTCACAAGCGGACAACCTTTCATGGCCTCACTTAACTCATAAAGCACTGTGGAGACCTAATGTAGCCCCAAAATGGGCCTGAATTGAGCAAGATCCATATATTCTTTCCACTAAATATTATTAAAGCATTCCCATTTTCCTTAATGAGCTTTTATAATTCCATGTATGTATTTCCCCCAATTTCAACTTACTGTTACTAGTTTGTCCTGTTTCTTTGGGTAACATGTCTATTCATTAAATCTAATAGGTGCTGCCACAGGGGCTGAGTAGATTACTTCCAGAAGAGTACCTTGTAACTGCTTTTGAGAAGGCCATACAAAATAGAGAACAAGTTCTTGTACTAAGTGATATATGCAGTAGAGAGCAATCATCATAACACTTGGGACATGACTCTTTTTCAATTCATATGTAATTTGTAGTTTTAACAGAATGAAGATTCTATTGAAGTATTAACATTCCCCAAAGGGGTCTTGAGAAAGCCAAGTTTTGTTATGACTCACAGGTGGCACTTCATTATAAATAGTCCCTTTTCTCTTTAAGACCTAAGTCCCAGTTAACACCCATCTCAGGAAGAAGGCTGTGAGATTATGCAGAAAATGATAAGTTGGCCTTATTAACACCTAACTGGGAAAATTGAATGGGTTATTGAGACCCTGTAACTTGCTTTGGATGGTATATGAGTTAGTAGAAGTTCTTATTAATTTGATTTCAATAAGCATGAACCCTAGACCTCACCAAAACTCCTGATGATATATGTATAATCATGAATTGGGGGCACAAAATCTAATATCTTCATTTGAATGCTATTACTGATTTGCTTCCCTTGTTCTGAGCTCAGATTTTAGAGCTCTACAGCTTGTGTGCTGATGTAGTTGTTACTTCTCTTTGCAGATCATGTGGCATGTGTTGTACCTTCAGAATGTCAGAAGTACTGTGGTGCCCAAAGTAGTTGCAGCCCCATGGCCTATCCACTGCTGGTGGTAGCAGTGCTGCCTACAGGTAAGAAATGAGCTGCCACACATAGGGCCACAGGTGTACCTCCCTCTCTGTTCCTTATACCCTGGAACCTCATATCCTTATGTAGGTATAACAAACACTCATCATTTGCATTATTCACTTAATCTGTGAACTGTCTCATTGATTCACTCAGCCAATGGGCTGTATATTACCAGGTGCTATTCTAAGTCAGAGAAGCCTTAACACAAGCAAGACAAGTCTTACCCTCAAAGAGATCACTGTACAGTGCAATAGGGTCATATAATGTTCATTCTGGAAGAACAGAGATCCTCCCCATACTGATCTCACCTTCTCTTCCGAATCCTGTTAAAATGGCCAAATGAGAAATTTAGATTAGCTCCAAAGAGCTGGAAAACTTAAGACAAAATTACTATAAAATACAGTATGGATGGGATCAGACTTAAGGATATAAGTATTCTACAGTCCAAAAAATAAGTGATCTGTACTCCCCAACCAAATCTTCAGAAATATCCTGGCTTGGGATAAGCATGGATGTAAGTGTGGGCATTTGAAGGCAAATCCAAGGACCCTAATTGTGTCTGTGTGCCCTCAAGATCTCACTGAATCAAGGACACAGTGGATTATAGGTCAGGACCAGGCTATCTTCTGGCTCTTTGTAAACATAGTTTGAATGTTCTTGTCACATGGTGGCCATAGTGATATCATATTTCTATGTTTATAACTAGTGCTCATTTCATAACTGCTCTCTGGAGAGCAGGTATGAGTGTTAACTTGTCCACTTAATTTCTCTTATTTTTTTTGGGGGGGTGGTCCGGTCGTGGGGCCTGAACTCTGGGCCTGGGCGCTGTCCCTCAGCTCTTCAGCTCAAGGCTAGCACTTGAGCCACAGTGCCACTTCCAGCTTTTTTTCTTTTTGCTTATGTGGTGCTGAGGAATCGAACCCAGGGCCTCAGGCATGCAAGGTAAGCCTCTACCATTGAGCACCTTCTCTTAATTTTAACATTACCTTTATGCAGTAGATACTATATGAAGCTTTATAGCCAAGCACACTAAAGCACAAGGAAACTTTTGCCTACAATCTGAACTTACCTACAATCTGAACCTTTTCCTAAACTCTAGATCTTTGAACAAGGGAGTCAAACAAGAATTAACCTTCCATAGGATTGTAGGGAGGATAGTACAGGCTAATTCCTAAAGAGATGTTCTGGAAGAGATTAATCATCTAAGAGATATTAGCTGCCATTTTTATATCATATCACAACAAGAACCTATTAAGTCTTGTCACAAATCAAAAACAAATATAACACAATAATCTATTTTAGATAGAATTCTACTTCAGGTAAAATTCAGATGCTTCACAGGATAAAATTATTTGAAAAAATTGTTAGGAGGTGTATACGTCAAAGTTTTTCTTATTCAGGAGCTTGAGGTCAAGGGAATGTCATTTCCTTTCCAGGTCTACAAGGTTTTATGCTGGCCACAGTATGTGCTGCCCTTATGTCCTCCTTGACTTCTGTTTTCAATAGTGCTACTACTGTGTTCACAATGAACATCTATGTCTGGATTCGGCCTATGGCCACAGAAAAGGAACTCATGATAGCAGGAAGGTGATGTATTCCTCTAATCACATTAGCTAATACTGTCAAAGAAAGGTCATCCATAATATGAGTTTATGTGAAAACTCTTAAGCTGCAATGCTCTATACAGAATTGTTGTGTTTAGTATATTATGTGTTCCCATTTGGCTGCAATTTTGAAATGCTAATTTATTTCTTTGTTCACAAAGAAAATTGTTTCTAGTTAGGGAAAAAGAAAGGAATAATTACAATGATTAAAGTCTACAAAACTTCATAACCCACCAACATAGTTCTTTTAGGAAACTTTAAAGTAACTCTCTTTCATTTAGTCATCATGACTACTGTAAAAAGTAAGTTTTACTGTTTTTTGTTCTCCTTGTGAAAATGGGGAAACAGTGGCTCTGGGCTAGGGTACTGAACTACCAGAGATCATACAGTAAGTGGAGGAATATGTCCATCTTGAGGCCATGCTATCAACCAGGATGCCACAATGCATCTGCTAAGTATCTTCTTTTTCAAAGTTATGGAATATTTATTTGTTTTTTTTTATTGTAAAGGTGAGGTACAGAGGGGTTACAGTTACCTAAGTCAGGTAATGAGTACATTTCTTTTTGAAAAGTGTCTCTCCCTCCCTCATTTTCTCCGTTTTTCTGCTTCCAACCCCTCTGCTCCACAAGTTGTATAGTTCATTTCCAACATAGTATCTAGTGAGTATCACTTCTGAATTGGTTCACCCTTTGTCCCACTGTTCCTGTGCTTTCCCTTCCCCTCCCCAAATCAGATAAACTTATATACAAGACAAAGGGTACAGAAATAAAAAACAGTGACAAAAGGGGAAAGAAAAAAAGAAAAAAGAAAGAGCCACAAACAGTACAGTATAATAAAAAACCCTCTTGTTTTTATTTGTTGGAGTTCATTTTGATAAATATAATTTTTTATGTTCATATGCATGTAGCTACTGGGTCTGTGTGATCCTCTTCTAAGAATATCCCCCTTTGGTCTCACTGTGTGAATGTTTAGAGTCCTGTTTAATCATGTCCAAGTGTAAGTGTTTATCTTTTATTATCCACTGGGTTTAAGTTTAGATTTACAGGAACATTCTAATTACTACAAATGAAGGAAACCATGCAGCCCATGTTTCTTTGTGTCTGGTTTACTTCTCTTAATTTTTTCCAAGTCTTTCCATTTCCTTATGAATGGGCAATGCCATTCTTTCTGATGGAAACAGAATTCCATTTTACACACACACACACACACACACACACACACACATCACATTTTCTTGATCCACTTGTCAACTGAGGGGCATCTGAGTTGTTTATCTTAGCAATCATAAACAATGCTACAGTAAACATCGCTGTGCTGGTAGCTTTAGTGTGGGCTGGTTTGTGTTCATTTGAGTAAATGCCCAGGAGTAGAATTTCTGGGTCATAGGGAAGCTCTATGTTTAGCCTTTTAAGAAACCTCCATACTGCTTTCCAGAGTGGTTGAACCAGTTTACATACCCAAAAACAGTGTAGTAGCATTCCTTTTTGGCCATATCCCCACCAGCTACTATTATTGTTAATTTTTCTTGATAATGACCATTCTAACTAGAGTGAGGTAGATTCTCAATGTTGTTGTTTTTTTTTTTTTTTTTTTTTTGTCGGTCGTGGGGCTTGAACTCTGGGCCTGGGCGCTGTCCCTCAGCTCTTCAGCTCAAGGCGAGCGCTCTACCACTTGAGCTACAGTGCCACTTCCGGTTTTCTGGTGGTTTATTGGAGATAGGAGTCTCATGGTCTCTCCTGCCCGGGCTGGCTTTGAACCGCGATCCTCAGATCTCAGCCTCCTGAGTAGCTAGGATTACAGGCGTGAGCCACCAGCGCCCGGCTTCAATGTTGTTTTGATTTGCATTTCTTTTATGGCCAGAGATGTCAAACATCTCTTCATGTGTCTATTGGTTATTCTTTTCTTCTTCTTCTTCTTTTTTGGTCAGTCATAGGGCTTGAACTATGGGCCTGAGTGCTGTCCCTGAGTTCTTCAGCTCAAGGTGAGTGCTCTACCACTTGAGCCACAGGGCTACTTCTGGTTCTCTGGTGGTTTATTGGAGATAAGAGTCTTCATGGACATTCCTGCCCCAGGCTGGCTTTGAACCACAATCCTCAGATCTCAGCCTCCTGAGAAGCTAGGATTACAGGAGTAAGCCACTGGTGCCCAGCCTATTGGCTATTCTTATTTTGCCTTTGGAGAAGTCTCTCTTTAAGTCTTTATCCTGTTTATTAATTGTTGTTTCTTTGAGGATTTGTTCTTTATTGGGGGCTTATTTTTTTTTTAGCTCTTAAGTATATTTTAGATATGAGGCCCTCATCTGGTGCATAGATAGTAAAGATCTCCCATTTTATAGGATTTCTATTTATCTTACTAGCTATGTCCTTTGCCATGCAGAAACTCTTTAGTTTGATACAATCCCATTTATCCAGCCTTTCTTTGATTTGTTGTTATTCTGGATCTTTAGGAAGTTTTAACCTGTGCCAAGGAGCCCTTGGCTTCCCCTATCCCTTTCTGTAATATTCCAGGGTATCTGGTCTTACTTTGAGGTCTTTGATCCATTTGGAATTGATTCTGGTGCGGGGTGATATATAAGGATTTAACTTCAGTTTTTTACATGTGCATAGCCATTTCTGTCAGCACCATTTGTTGAAGAGGCTGTCTTCCTTCTCTCCTGTGTTTTTGGCTCCCTTATTAAAGATTAGGTGGCCGTAGGTCTATGGGTTCATTTCTGGGTCTTCTATTATATTCCACTGGTCCTCAGGCCTATTCTTGTGCCAGTACCAAGCTGTTTTATTTATTTATTTTTCTTTCTTTCTTTTTTTATTGTGAAAATACTGTACAGAGGGGTTACAATTACATGGGCAAGATAATGAGTACATTTCTTATCAAGCATTGTAGCCTCCTCCTTTGTTTCCCCTTCCCATCCCTTCCCATCCTCCCGCTGCCCCCCCCACCCAATCCTCCCCGCTCCCCCTCCCCCCAAGCTGTTTTTATTACTATGGCTTTGTAATAGACTCTGAAGTTTGGTATTGATATTCCTCCATCACTCTTTTTTCTGCTAAGGATTATTTTTGCTATTTGGGGCCTTTATTATTCTATATGAATTTTTGGATTGCTTCTTCTATATCAGTGAAAACTGTTGTTGTGATTTTGATGGGTATTACATTGAATTTGTAGATATATCTAGGCAGTATTGCCATTTTCACAATGTTAATCCTTCCAATCCAAGTGTATCTGTCTTTAATGGGGTTGCTCTATAGAATTTTATTCTGGCTAGTATAGGTCATATCCAACCACACACCTTCAACATGTCCCACATAGTGTCTCAAACACTACCTGTACCTCATGTCAAGGTGAATATCCTACCTGTTTTATCTAGGCAGGTGTTTGAATTTGCCTTTAATATTTTCTTCTTTTAAATTTCTTATCTCCTTCCTCCTTCCTCTCCTCCTTATTTCTTCTCCTATTTTTCTTTCTTTTTTTCCTCCTCTTTTTTTTCTGCCAGGGATGGCTTTGAACCACAATCCTCAGATCTCACCCTCCTGAGTAGCTTGGATTACAGGTGTGAGCCACAGGCACCTGTCATCGTTTTGTTTTTGTTTAATGCTTTCTTCCATCATTTAGGATGTCTCTGGCCTCCCCCTCTGCAAAATCTTTTTAATTCTGTGTGTTCTGATTACTTAAATTTTTATTCTGGTGCTGGGGCTAGAGCTCAGTCCTGGGTACTGTTCTATAACTTTTTCCATCAAGGCTGTATACTTCCACTTGAGCCACAGATATACTTAGTTTTTTGGTGGTAGTTGGAGGTAAGAATTTTACAGACTTTTTTACATGGGCTATCTTTGAACCTAAAGGCTCAGGTCTCATTCTCTTATGTAGTTAGAATTACAGGCCTGAGCCACCATACATAGCTATGTTTTTTAATGTTGAAACATCCAGAAATATTGGGGTAAATCTACTTGCCCATGTTGCATAAATAAACCTCTGAACTTAACTTATAGGAATCTTTAAAGCTGTGGACCATTTTGATCTATTGGAAATATTTAGAAATATATCCGTTCATTCTCAAGACATTAATATTTGCCATTTGTTATATACTTTTTGGTTTACTGCCCATCCAAATTTGGTTAATCCTACCCTTCATGTTTTGTGAAAATATATTCATTGTCCAGTAACAGGTAAACAAACATTCAGTATTTTTGTTCACAGACATTGAACAAAAATACTGAATATGTTTTACAGTTCATTTTATGAATGAGCACATTTTTTTTAGTTTAAACTAAGGACTAGGCTGGGCATGTAACTCAGTGGTAGAACACTAGCTAACATTCCTGAGGCCCTTGATTCTATCTCCAGCACTGTAACAAATGGTGATCAAATAAATAAGTAAATAAACCATAAGCAATTAAATAGTTTATGGTGTATAGATAATTTCTTGGCAGGAAAATTTCATCAAACTGGCACTGACTGTTGCTTAACTTACAGGTTTTTTGTTATAATCTTGCTTGCTATCACTATTGTCTGGATTCCTGTTATGGAAACATCCCACAGTGAAACTCTGTTTGAACACATGCAAGTAACTAGAAGTTACCTGGTACCACCTGTAACTGCACTTTTTCTGCTTGCTGTACTTTGCAAGAGGGTCAATGAGCAGGTGGGTCAGTGTTTTGTAAGAGTCCAAGAGTATGTAGGTGTTGACACTGAATGATATGAGTTGTTATCTTTACACAAGCTCTTTACAAAAGTTGCTCTCAGAGATCTCCTGTATTTCAGGGGTTTGCTCCATGTCATCATTTGCCTTCTGACAAATCATATTGTCCTGGCCAGATTTAGCTTAAGCTCACTCTTATGCATGAAGGTAGATGGAGATCTCTCGTTCGTTTTCTTTCCTTGGTAATGTAATGATAACCAAGACAAACTACATAAGATTGTAGAGGTAATGATACAAAACTGACGGATTCTCTGTCCACCATATTTGGCTACAGAAATTATGCCTCTTTTGCCTCTGTACATGTGGTCCTTAGAAATTTCACACTCATGGGGGTATTAAAGTGGTAAGTCCTCTTTCACCCCCTCTGCATTGCAGAGGTAACAGACCATGCCTTTCAGCCACACTTAAGACCAATTAAAGATCTCAACTGTTTAATTATTGTATCAGTATAACTGAAGGCATATTTTACCCCCAATTTTTAACTTTTTGTGTCATTACAATTTTTTTTCAATCATATATTAAACCTTCTGGTCTCCCCAGACAGTTCTGAGTAGTTAGGCCTTTCATAAGTTCCCAAGGACAGCACATAAAGTGCACTGTGACCTGGCAAATTCCACTTCCTAGGTTCTGCCCTACACATAGCCTATAGCTGCCAGCAACTGAAAATAATGTGTGGTGTTGATTTCTGAACTTGCCTTGTCTGCCTCCTTTCATTTATATTGACTGTTAGTTTTGTCAAGAATATCCAGGCTCATCTCAGGTATTTAGTCCTCTAGAAAGCCTGTCAGTGCTCCCTGTTTCACCAAGATTACTTGATTCAATCTAGCCATAAGAATTTGAGGGAGAGTAATCCAGGCCACAGAGCTGCTTCTCTTTGCTCTCCTAGGAAGAGCATAGGCAAGAAGGACATATGGCCCACCTGCTACTCCCTAGCCAGCATTGAAAAAATAGTATACATACTCTTTAGCCTAAAGTTCTTCACCATATCTCCTTTGCCACCCTGTTTTGAATGACATATTCATCTGGTTTCTGCATATATTCTTTAGAAATTGATTTCTATGGATCCTCTGCCTAGCTTTTGGTTTATCCATGGTGCTTGCCCATATTCCATATCTGTTTTCTTTCTATTGATATCAGTTCCCTCCTGAGTCAGCTTCTCAAACCAGGTCTCAAACCAAGATCGATTTTTTTTTTTTTGTCTAATGGAGTGGATGGTATGTTTGGAGTGGAAAGATGACACACAATGAGCAGATTAAGACTTCTGATAGTAATGTGATATTTGTAAGATTACAATTGATCTTTGAGATGGCAGGGAAGGCTACTGGGGTGAAGTAAACAAGGACATTAACTAGCGTAATAAGAGAAGACGTCTCTTGAGGAAGATTTTTAATCTGAAAATTGAAGATCAAGCCAGGAATAGCAAGATATAAGAATTAAGAGATCTGAGAAGAAAGAATGGGAAGTTCAAAGTGAAACAGGATTGAGATTCAGGAAGGTCATGATGGCTTGAATGGAATGACAAAAGAGAGAGTAGCAGAGCCAGGCAAAGCCAACCATGCTGTAACGTTGTTTGGCTTTTGATAGTGGTAAAGCAGGAAAGAAATAAAGGAGTCAAGAGATGACTCCTGGGATTTTGACCTAAGAAATTCCAAAATGGAGATTCCACTTAGGAAAATGGGGAAGACAAAGTTATTTTTTTGGATACATTTACTCTAAGAAGGCCATTTATGAACTCAATTCAAAACATTTCAATATTTCTCAAGTTACCTGACATAACTAAGAGGGAGAATCAGTTATCTGTGGCCTGGCATATTCCCTCACTTGTTCATGCTCTCTTCTGCAAGACGTCACCTCATTGTACCTAATTTAGCCTTAGAAACTGGATTGATAGGAAAACGGGGATGGTGCTGGCTTGTCTCTTTATCCAGATTCTTCCCAGGTGTCTTTCTTTGGCAGGGTGCCTTCTGGGGCCTGATTTTGGGGATGATGATCGGCTTCTTTCGACTTCTGGCTATGTTTGCCTACGGATCCTGGACATGCAATGGAGAGAACGAATGCCCTGCATTCATCTGTGGCCTGCACTACCTCTATTTTAGCACAATCCTCTTCCTAATTAGCGTTCTCAGCATGCTAATCATCTCCTTAATCACAGACCCAATTCCAGATAAACATGTAAGTGCTGCTATTAGGATGTTCCATGATCAATCTCAAAGTCTCATGGAACAGCAACAGCAAGATGAAGAAACCAAGATGGATACCTGCTTTCCTTTTGCAATTGGGAAGAAGTCTGAGATTTGCTTGGGTTATAATTGGGTAACAAGAAAGACCCTCAGGTCATAGTTTAGTATGGAGCACCTTCCTAGCACATGGACACCCTAGGTTCCATCCACAGCACCCATTAGATATTCATTTAGATTGAGAAGTTGAGTTAAAAAATGCAGACTTTGCTTGAAAATGTTGTTTAATGATTTCAGCACCAGTCAGTCCAAGATGTCCCCCAGAATGAAAAGGGAATAAGACCTCTGGCAGCCCTAACAGGTTGCAAATGATACTTTACAGCCTTCTTGTCTCAAGCCATTTCATATAGCTTAGAAAACAGGAGTCGGTCACCCATTTTAGAAATTTATTAAAAAGCTTTAAATTCACAAAAGCTAAGCAACTATCTCAATAATAAAACTAGTGACAGATCTGGGGCCTTAACCAGACATCAATGCTCATGCTGGCTCCATCATGTCAGCTTTTGACCACTTGGCAAGACAGGGAATTGGCCTAGCCAGATAGATGCAGGAGGAGAGTCTTGTATATCAGGGAATAATCCAGAGTTCTGGTGTATAGAGAGGAGCTCAGAAAGAATGAGAATGTAAGACCAAATACATTTCTTGCAACTTTGCTCAGAGTCTGAAAAAAAGTAGTATTCTATTTTCCAAAGCTGAGACATTGGAGATAGAGGCAGAAGTATTGTAAGTTTAAGGATATCCATGGCTCCATAGCTCCCCCTGAATAAAAAAAAAATAAACTACAAAAAAGTCAACAGTAAAAAATTTGGGTCATAGGCTTGAGCCCTCCCAATTTACCACCTCAGGTCACCACAATCAGAGGATGTGGGAGCTTTCTGCTTCCAAGTTGTTCATCCACAGAAGCCCACAGATTCTGAACAGCACTGGACTCCTTGCCCTTTCAGAACCCAACATCCCTTGTCCATAGTTAGGCTGATGATTTTCTTGGAAAGGCAAATATTCACATATAACATCATCAGGAAAGGCCTAATCAATAAGCCACATGATTGTAATCAATACAACAGAATTGTAATCTCAACACAGAGGTAAGGCTGAATCTTAGAGTGAAGCAAGCTGAGAAGGTCCCCACTAGTTAGGCCCATATACATCTGCTGTTTGTTAACAAAAATCCATGTGGGCAGGAATTTACCTGTACCTGCATGGAAGGTAGTGTAATAGATTCAATGCATATTCCAGGATAGGCTTGGATGTGGTAGAATTGTTTACTTCGTTGTGATTTTGCTACTCTAACCTCTCTGTTATTCCAGTCTCTCCCATAAAGCAACAATTGGCTGTATTTTGCTACTCCTCAAAGTTTCCACCTGGGTTTTATGGCAGGCAAGGGACGGGGAGCACCCTTTGTAGCATCTGAAAACTCCCTGTTGAAATTGAGCAGCTGAGCTCTGTTCCAAGGCTTGGTACAATACTTCCTGGTGTTTATGGAGTGTTTCTTCCATGAGAGCAGCTCTGGTCTTCCATGTTCAGCTCATCCAGACAACAGGGCTCCCCATACTACTGTTGAGTGTATAACTGGGATCATGAATGACTTCTCCAATTTTGAAGGGAGTAGACTTCTGGACCCTCTTAATAAAAGGAGCCACAAGATTTTTCTCTTTTTATGGATTCATCTGTTTGATATAGGGAGATAATATTATGTCAAAACCAGGCACCATAAAATGTAAACACAATTACTGTCATAAACCCAGATGCACTTTCAAGGATGAAAAGTGGCTTTGTTTTAGTTACCCTGTTTTTATAGAAAGCAGCAAAGGTCATTGTGTTAGCACTATGTACATATGAGAAGATCCCAATTATGAAAGAAACAGATGAACTTTGAATTCTTACGTTTTAGTAAGGTTTATGGTAACTTCCAGTTTTATCTTCCTTTAATTAACCATGTCCCTTGATAAGCACATCTTAACAGCAGCACAGCGATGTAAATAATGCAATATCAGAGTCTTTATATACTACAAAGTTGTGCTCAGTGACACATTTACATTCTATTTGTGTGATTAAACATTTGACAACAAGTAGCTTTCATAAGGATTACTGACTAATTTGAGGGTGGGGTTTATGTTATTAAAGATATTACTAACATAATAGCTACTTTCCCTGTATACAAACATTAGTGCTATAATTTATCAAGAGCAAAACTGAATATGCAATTTGAGCAGCTTCTCAAATAATGTAGTTTTATGAAATCATGGGAAATAGGAAGAAAACTGCCCTTGACATAAAATGATTTCTTAACCTTTTTTTCACTGCAAAATATAATCACTACAGATCAACACAGTAAATCAGGTAGTTCTCAAAATGAATAAGTGAACTGAAAAAGGGGAAATAAAACATATATATATATACATATATATATATACATATATATATATATATATGTGGATGAATGAATATGGGAGCTAGATGCTTTTAGCAAGGAAAGTCAGGAGTTAGTTCTGGATGAAACTTGTTCTGCAGTTCCCATTTCCACAGCTGTGTGCTGAGAGTCTGACCCAATGAGCTTCCATACCATCCTGCTGTTATTTTGGGGACTTGCAAAGCCTGCTGGGGGGCTCCCACTATTGAGACTCATGCCAGCCATTTGATGATTGACATGTGAGAGGCTCCACTGAGGCTGTTTTTCTTATGGAAGGCCAAATTTACTCTTGAGTTGCACTCATTTGTCCTATTATTCCTCTCCATGGAGGCCAGCAACATTTTGAGAAAGTGACATCACAACAGTTTGTAGATTTCCCCTCAAACCAATGGGCATGCACATGCCCACCTTCATGCCTGTTTTCTCTCCCAGGATGTTTTCCTATAAGGCCAGAGGCCAGGTCTCTTTTCAGTCCATTGAAACCCTGGTCCAAGCTGCAGCCTGTGGTATTATATGACTACATGACAGGATCCTGTGGTAACACAGCTCTGCTTTCTCCATCCCACCCTTTTCAGCTTCACCGGCTTTGTTGGAGTTTACGCAATAGCAGAGAGAAGAGGGTAGCTCTGGACTCAGGGATAAGGTGGAAGAGACTCCCCAGTAATCTAGTCCATCAAGGTGAGAAGGAAAATCCCACAGCCCTGGGAAGGTATCCTTTGCAGTTGGCTCTGTAGCCTGAGTAACTGCCCTATAGACCTGTATCCCACTACCCTCACCTTAAGACATATCATTGCAAGAAGAATCCCATTTTTCTTTTTTTCTGAATCCCTCCTGGTTTGCCTAGGTGGAGACTGTGAAATCACACACACCCATAGACAGGAGGCTGGAATAGAGGAGGGATGGGGGTAGAGACGGAGTGATTCTGGAGGGGGAAGGAAGTGGAGAAGGGATGAGATAAAAGCAGTGCATGATGATAACCCTGTGGGGTGACCTTGTGGGGAGTCAAAAGTTCCTGGTGTCCTAGAAATATTTCAGTGTTTGGGATGATCCACCTGAAGCAAATACTGATTAGTGAAGAAAGTTTAGTCTGAGAACTGACCATTATATTTTACCACACAGAAACTATGTTCTGTCTCCAGCAGGGGATCTGGTGGTGCAGTACCAGGAATGGAGTAGGCCATAGGGCAGGGATTGAAAATCAGAGGCACTCTAGAAAGGAACAAGAAATAGCCTTCTCCTGCAAAGGCTCAATGGCAAGGAATGAGACAGAAGCCCACCTAAGAGCCCAGTTTCAGCGAGCCCAAGCAAGAATGGAATGTCCTGAGAGAAGGCTGAAGCACTGAGTCCTCTAAGCCCCTGAATGATCAGAGAAGGAACTTCAGCACACAGGGTCAGAAGATGAGTATTTAGGGGAAAGCCTCTTAAATGAGCTTCATGCATTATATCCTTTAGGATGTAATGAGACTACTCTTGGTTCTAGGGCAGAAAATACTAAAGAAGCTGTGATCCTGGAGGACAGAAGGAGAGGGGGAAAGAGCCTAGCTAGGGAGAAGGAAAGGTCCTTGGATTCTCCTCTATACTCTTTCCAGAGAATTCCAGAGGCCAGATATAACTAAGGCCTCCTTCTGAAACCTACAGGAGATGGTCAGGATAGCATATACACTTCTATGTGGCAGAGAACAACCTACTATGTCTGTGCCCCTGGAGGCCATGGAACTTCATGTTCCCTCCGATTCATCTGCTGTTGCATCTTCTTTAGGGGGTTATAAACTGCATTACCTGTGCATGCCCAGAGTATGCCAGATACTGCCAACATTATACTCATATGTAGCAGTACAATTGCTAGCCCCATTCTAGAACTGGGGACACAAAACACTAATAGTTAATTAGTCATGGTATAGTTTGGATTCGAACACCATCCTATGTGAAAGTATGGGCTCTAACTTCTGGGCCAGCCAGCTGCCCATTACACAACCTTGGTTGTTGAGAGTGATACTTTTGTCCTTTCTCTACTGGCTCTAACAATTCTTCTGGAAGCCCCAAGATCTTAGAAGCTTCATGGAAGTAAGACAACATGGGAATTTGTGAACAGAAGCCAGAACATGGTTAGTGGTCAGGATTTCTTAGCCCCATAAAAGACTTGTGTGACTGTTTGTAGCTCCTCTGATATATTGCAAAATCATAGATGGCTCCTCATACTTAACCACTAGGATAGGAGTCCTGGAAAAAGTTGCTTAGAAGCTCTCCAATGGAAGGATAAAGAGGATACCTGACTTAAATGGCCTAGTAGCTTTAAAATCACATTGCAGGCAATGTCTGGGCCCAGGCTGATGTTTGAAAACTGACCACAATGTTGACATGAGCCTGTGCAGGCCCATTGGACAAACTAGTGTTGGCAACACACATAGTGAAGTAACATCCCAACCAATGATTAGGCATTCCCACTCTTTGTGCTAGAGAAATGAATGGCAACATTCTGTAATCTCTTGACAGGAAGTATCTGTAGACCAATATGCAGATGCCCTACCAGACTGACAAAGACTGGTGCTGTCTGGAGGAAACACTCCCTGAGAAGCTGCCAGAGAGCATCTGCCTACAGGAATCATGGCCCATCCTCTCTCCTCCTGAAGTAATGATAAGTGGGGAGATTTGCTTGAGGAGGAACATTTCCTTCCCTAGACAGACACAGACAGGAAGAGCATTTCTACAGCACAACAGGAGGCTTCCAAGTCACTCACTTGATCTGCTCTGTCAGAGGATCTGGGCAGAACTGAAACATCAGCAAAGCTACTCCACTCTATAGTGCTCCCTGAATCACTCATCCTACCTTCTGTTTCATTTATGTCTCTGGTGATGATTGTAGGTATTCCATGTCCAGATTGAAGATGTTCTTTCCTATTTGGAATAAGTCTATCAGACTTCATCTGGGCTTACTGATGAGTCAGATCTCCCATCAGATCCTCCTCTCCCTTTCAGGCATATGTGTCTCCTGACATATTCTTGTCTTCTTTCTCTTTTTCAGATTTATTGAAGGATTCTCAGACATGCCTCTGGAATATGTGGGACCTGTTCTGTGGACTAGAGCCATGGCCTGACTCTAAGTTAACCCCTATAAATTCCTCTGAGGGGAATATGGAGGCAAGCAAGGAGGAAATAGAATGCAGTGAGATATTAGGAGATGCACAGGCCCTGGACTTGGGAGAGACAGATAGGAAAATGGAGTTGACTGAGAAGAAGCAAAAAGATACAGAATACAGTAATGTGTTGGAGAAGCCCTGCTGGAAGAGAACAGTCAATGTCATTGGGATCATTTTGGTTCTGCTTGTGGTTATGGGCCACATTTACTATGCCTGAAGCAGCTCAGGCTGATAGTAGGTACCTGGGGTCAGGTAGGGCTGCTGCCTTTCCAAACTCCCTCAGTATGAAGGGTGGGAGTGTTTCCTCTTGGGAGATCCAAGAATGACATTAATGAAAATACTACCATAGTGTCATGCATCACATATTATCACCAGCTACAGAATATCAGTGTTGACTGGAGGACAGAAAGAAATCTATTCATGATTTCAGAGATATGTACATGACAGCATCTGTTCCTCTCTAAAAGTCATTTTGTCCAAATGGCCCTACTGCACAGCACTGCTTGTTACATTAAATTTAATTTGTTTTTTAAATCTCTAAATATATTTAGAATTTTTCTTGTGTTTATTTCACTGTTACCATTTCTTTTCTATATCTACCCTATGTTGCTTTGTTCTCTTGTATCATTAAATGTAAGGCCCTGTCATCAAAAATGTCATGTTTTGTTAACTCTGCCCTACCTCTGGTTGGGGGCTGTCACCCACAGGTTGTATGCCCAGTGCTAATGAGCACACAGGTATTGAGAACCAGCTGTACCTCAGATGCAAACTTTGGCTTCTGCCTGTACCAGTATGTAAACAAGGCAGATTATTCTTTAACAGAATTGGCCTCCCCACAACTCACCATGATTTTGCTTCTGCTGCAATGCCCAGCTGTTTCTAGTCACTCTCCCAGTCTCACTGCAGATAATGGGGGTAGGACCAATTGATTAGATTCCCTTTTGATAACAGATACAGGCAACTCCTGTGCTGTGTTTCTAAGCTATCACTTTTCTTCCTTCTTCTTGGACCAAACTAAATGAACTATTTTAGAAATGTTTCAAATGCCTTGTTATGATTTGGGAGAGGCTAAGTATCATGAAAATCAGACACTGTAGGCATACACAAGCAGCAGTCTTTCATCCCTTCTTCAGTCATTTAGCTAATAGTTCTGTCTCTATTGTGTGCCTGTCACTGTGTTGTGATTCAAGGAGGTAGCCATAAATAGAACAGATGGGAACTGCTCTCAGAGCAGTCAGTGGAGAAAATCAGACACTTGATAATAGTGGCAACTGCCTGTATTCCATGTGGCCTGCTATCTTCATGTCCAAATTAAGGACTTTATCACATTCAAGTCACAGAACCACCTTGTGGAACAACTGTACTTAACCATGTTTCAGAGAGAATAAGGCTAAGCAAAGGAAATAAGCAATCCAGGAGCTAGGCAGAAGTCCACAGGCTTACCCTTACATAGTGTGTGTACTGAATCAATACACTTCAGGGCATTCCACCTAGATACCTAGTCCAGGAAGGAGGAAGTCAGTGAGCAAGACTAAGAAGGGATAATGTGCAAGAAGACTTGAGACCAGAGTGCAAGGCATGTTTGAAAGTGAGGGTACATAGATGTGTGGCAGTGCACTGTAAACTGGAGAATCTGAAGCTTGACCCACACCTTTACATTTTTTGGAATCCAAAGTGCCTGGGAGATTGGGTTCAAAGATGATAATATCAGACTTGATGGATACTTCTGGGAAGATGTAAGGAAGCCAGGAATATCCCTCAGAAGACTGGGGAGAAGCAAAGAGAAGGGGACATTTTGAGGGCAGGGTGGGGTAAAACCACTGGGTTGAGTACATGAATGAAGGTTGCATGCACTTACTTTAAATTATAATTATAAAGATGATGTACAAAGAGATTGCTGTTAGCATATCTACCCTCATTTTGGTTTTACAGCTGCCATTTTAGGTCCTCTACAGGCCAGGCCAGGCCACCATTGCCCATTCCCACCTAAACTGCATGTACCTCTAGATACTGGTTGCATCATCAAAATGCTGCTGCCACAATCAGAATGTACTGGCCTGGCCACGCAAGATGTCCTACCCTAGCTATGTGCCACGTACAGGATGTCCTGCCCTGGCTATGTGATATCTCTAGTGTCCAGCTCTGGTCACAAGAGACTTCCTGTTTTCAGCCTCTCACTCATGCCTTCAACTTTCCTGGCTGTATATAATTACCCCTTACAAAAAGACAAGTTGATACTCTCTATCCCATGAGAGCTAGCCTATCAACCCTGCTGAAAAACTCTCACTGCATGTGACACTGGGTATGAGATTCTGAGCCATGAGAACCTAACAGCATTTCACAAGCTACAAGGAAGAATTCTGGTTTCTATTAACCAGTATTTCAAGGAAAGTTCCTTAGAAATATCTGCTTCTAAATAAGATACGTTTATTATTAACAGCTTGAATTATGATGAAGCCACTCAGTGTGAGGTGCTGAACAATTTGAACCTAAGAGCTCTGGACTGGCTGCAAGGTTTCACACCCAGCTTTCATATTTCCTTTACAACATAGGACTATGTTCCCTGACTGGGAACATCAGTTTACAAATCCTAAAAAGTGGATGGTGGCCGGTGAAGCTTTTACACAAGCATTCAGTTTAAAGTTCCGAGTAAGATGAAACTATGGTCATTGCACTATGTTCAAGTTTTCAGTGTGCATGCAAGAGTTCATTTGGCTAATAAAAACCATTCAATAATTCGAGGCTGATATTTCCAATCAACTTCCATAAATATTTCTGGTGAAAGAAACCTGAATCCTTATTCTTTAATCCTTTTTTTAAATGAGTATTTATTGTGAAAATACTGTACAGAGGGGTTACAATTACATGAGCAAGGTAATGAGTACATTTCTTATCCAGCATTGTTGCCTCCTCCTTTGTTTTCCCCCTACCATCCCTGCCCTCCCATATCCATGACTACACTTCCCCCCTTCCCTGCCTGCCAAAGTTGTAAAGTTCATGCCATAGCATCTTGTACATCTCATTGTTGCAATGGGTCCACCTATATCCCTATTTAAATAATTTGTTTTTTCCCTTCCCCTCCACAAATTATACCAATATCAAATACAGTGAAAAAAGGGGTTATACCATGGGGGAGGAACATACAAAGCAACAAAAAATCACCCTATAAATACATTAGAAACAATAGCAAGAAAGAAAAACCCACTTGTGTCCTTATCTTGGGTTTCCTTTCACCTAACATCATCTTGTCTGACCTTTTCTGCTTGTCTCAGACATATATTAGTTATTGCAAATAAGGGAAACCATGGGACCTATGTTTCCTTGGGCCTGGCTTCCTTCACTTAATACAATTTTTTCCAAGTCTTTCCATTTCCTAACAAATGGGGCAATGTCATTCTTTCTGATGGAGGCATAGAATTCCATTGTGTATATATACCACATTTTCTTGATCCATTCATCTACTGAGGGGCATCTGGGTTGGTGCAATATCTTAGCTATGGTAAATAATGCTGCAACAAACATAGTTGTGTTGGTAGCTTTAGTATGATCTTGTTAGTGATCATATGGGTAAATACCCAAAAATGGGATTGCTGGGTCATATGGGAGCTCTATGTGGAGTCTTTGGAGGAACCTCCATACTACTTTCCAAAGTGCTTGAACAAGTTTACACTCCCACCAACAATGCCACATCCCCTCCAGCATCTGTTGTTATTAGAGTTCTTGATTATAGCCATTCTAACTGGGGTGAGATGGTATCTCAATGTTGTTTTGATTTGTATTTCTTTTATAGCTAGAGAGGTTAAGCATTTCTTCATGTGTCTATTGGCCATTCTTATTTCTCTTTAGAGAAGTTTCTCTTTAAGTCTTTAGCCCACCTATTTATTAGGCAGTTGTTTCTTTGAGGATTTGTTGCTGGGGGATTTAATTTTTTGAGTTCCAGGTATATTTTAGATATGCGACCCTTGTCTGTTGTATAGCTAGTGAAGATCTTCTCCCAATCCATGGGCTTTCTATTGATCTTGCTAGCTATGTCCTTTGCCATGCAGAAGCTCTGCAACTTCATGCAATCCCAATTTTTATTTTTATTTTTTTAAACTTGTTTTCTATTTTTTCTCTCATAATTTTTATTTTAGGTGTATGTGTGTGTGTGTGTGTGTGTGCTTTTAAAAAATCTCTTTTGACCTTTGGGTCCATTTTATTCTCTTTTTTTTCTTTTCTCTTTTTCTCTCTTTCTTTTTTACATGACTTAATTGCTGTTCTGCTCATCCCCAGATATATACCCATCATTGATTATTAGACCTTAAACCCCATTGTGTCCATATTGAATCTAGAAATGTATTACTCAATTCACAACCTCTTAGGCTTAACTTCTTTAATAGTAGCATTATCTCTTTATACCTATATAATTTTCAAGTATTCTAACTTTAAGAATTTTTGTTATTTTTTCATGCTTCATTTCTTTCTCTCCCCTCCTTCCCTCCTTTCATCCTATCCTTTTCTTCTCTCAATATCATTTCTTTAAACTTAAATAATTTTTAAGTGTTTCATTTTTTGAATTTAAACTTTTGTTTCTCCATTTTTTTGAAGCCTGTGAAATGCTGTTAGGTTCCTATTGCTCAGTGTGCTTGCAAGAGTTTGTTCCACTGACATTGACCATTTAGTAATTAGAGGCTTATAATTCCAGTCAGCTTCCATAAACATATCTGGTCAAAGAAACCTAAATCCTTGTTCTGAAATGTTGAACACAGTGAAATGACTGTAGGTTCATCATAATCAGCATATCAGACTGAGTAAGTGACTGTGTAAAAGCTCCACTGGCTACCGTCCACCTTTCAGGATTTAGAAGCAGATGTTCCAAATCAGCATACAAAGTCCTTTGGGATAAAGGAAACCTGAAAGACTGTTCTGAAGCCTTGCAGCTAATCAAGAGCTCTTAGGTTTGAATTGTTCAGCACCTCAAACTGAGTTGCTTTGACAAAATTCAAGCAGGTAGCAGCAACCATGTAGTATTTAGAAGCAGATATTTCCACAAAGCTCCCATAGGCATACTGCATCAAAGGAAGCAGAATTCTTCCTAGTATATTTGAAGCCAGTGAAATGCTGTTAGATTCCCATAGTTCAGAACCTCAAACCCAATGTGTGCAAGAGTTCATTCAGCTAACAACAACTGTTCAGTAATTCGAGTCTGATATTACCAGTCAGCTTCCTTAAAAATGT